ATAAATTGAGTGTTGATTAAGAAAGAGAGAGATAGAGAAAACAGAGTAAAATCTGTGTTGTCCGATCCTTAACAAATTTGAGAGTTCAAAGTTCTACAGAATTCTCATCCGGATTTTGAGGCTGAGTTGACGAGTAAAAGTGCCACTCATTTACTGTAAAATTTGGATTGCGCTTTACAGCGAATAAGAGATGCGACCAAGCTGAAGACCTGGTCAGGAACAATTCAGTGAAAGATGATCGACAAAGTGATGAGGCCCATAGCTGCGACACGCAACGAAACCTGGCGATGGTTTTCAAAGGCAAATTCGAGAGTATCTCGATGATGAGATCAATTGGGATGCTTTCTCTTCCGTTCATCGAGTTCTCTCTCTATGATGGTAAATTTGTCAAGGGTGATGCTGTTAATATATATATAGCTTTGCGGATACAGCAAGAGCTAGGGCACATCCACACAGAGTCGGCCCTTCCTTAGGCCCACCAAGTAGAACAACATTAATTAAACAAATAGAAATTTAAAAGTTGATACTTGCCATGCAAGTTCCCTAATCTCTTTGGATAACAAATGATTTTACTTTTTTTTCACAAATGAATTTCCTTTTCTTAACTGGAAACGTCAACTGATGTTATTAAAATCCTAATCTAAACCAGATTAGGTTTGACATATCGAAAACAAAGATTAGATCACTATACTGTATATATATACGAGTCTCAGCATTAATCAGTTCCTCATTAACGATCTTTTGAGTCTCCCTTTAATTTTTTTTCGGAAGATAAAATACTCTCTCCTACCCTGAGAAGAAGAAGAATAAGAATCTAAGGAGTTATGGCTGATGAACAGAAAGAGATCCCTCAAGAGTCTTACCTTTCCTTGGGATCCAAGGAAACAGAGAAACCTCGACGTTTCTGTACATCCGACAAAGAAGAAAGAACCAAAAACTAAAAACCCGTTCGAAATAAGAATTTCAGCCCCACCTCGACAGTCTTTAGACGAAACAGTGATGCCTCTCGCCAACGTTCCTCTATCTCTGGTGATAAAGACAAGTCTGACGCAAGAGCTGCATATGAACCTTGTAGCACAACGTTTATTGGGATTCCACCCAGAGGAGATATCTCTCTCCTCTGCTTCCGGAACAAAGGTAGATCAAAACTTGAAGACCCATTGCTCCTTCAACGCTGAGTCCTCAAAAAACGTTAACAAGAATATCTCCTTGGTTTCCAAGGTAAGGTCGATTCCTTTCACAGACGATTCTATGTCTCCTACAAGTAAGAATGTGTTGGAACCCAATATTAATAAGCATCTGGACTTGTAATATTGAATTTGTGTGTGAATAAATGAAGTTTAACAAGCAAATAGGCCTTATAAATTCATTTGAGATTTGGGTTTGAGCCTATGGAGATGAAATGTTCCTATTAGCTATAACTAAAAGTGGAAGTTTAGTGGAAGTGTATTTGTCCCACATTGCTCACCAAGGAGAGAAATCTCTTGTATATATGTGGCCTTCTCACAATAAAGGTCAACAGCATTGTGAAAGTAAAAGGGCATTATGCAAAAACACCTATGCGCGCTGCTACCGTCGCCGGTGCCGGGCTCGGGCTCGTTGCTCGTTGCATATTTTAGTTGGCTCTTGGGCTCTTGGGCTCTATATAGCTGGGTGTGGGTCGTGGGCTTCTTAGTTCCTGCGAAATAATTTTTGCATATTGAAAGGATAAATCTTAGGAAATAAAAGATTGCGTCCAGGTAATAACGGAAGATTTCCGAATCCTTTTACTTGCGGGAAAAGAAGAATATCTCGCGAATTTTCCTTTTCGCTAAAGCTTATTCCTTGCGGATCAAGCTGAACCTTCCAGTATAAATAGACGCCCTCTTCTCTCATTCTAAATCATTGAATTCTCGAATACACAAAACACACAACAAATAATTCTTTCCAGAAAATCCTCTCGTCTTAATTTCGTAAGTGTCTCGAGAGCTATAGCGTAGTATTATTTCAGTTCGCAGATTCTATTATGGGTGTTGCATAATAGTCTCATCACGGTTATATCATGGGATTCAAAAATCGCACCATACGGGCACACATTACCGGCAATTTATTGAGTTAAGGAAAGAGATCATATCTCGACTCCGTGTTTTTTCATCTGCTTTCAATCGGTATTCAAACTCTCGTTTTAATCTCTTACCTTAACATATCGTTTATAATATTGCTATTTTCTATTCGTAATTTCAATCGGATTTTCGTGGCACTACAGAATGAACCAAAAACTATACACCTGTTCAGAAAAAGAATTACAGTACCGCCTCAAGAGTCCTCTTCCTTGTCACCAAAGGCAGCATCGATATCTCCGACAAAGAAGAGAAGTCGAGCAAATATGATTAGAGAGTTGTCTCATAGCTTGTTAAACGCAAAGTCCTCAGAAAACCCTAAAGAAGAATTAAAGGAAGATGCAAGAATGATTAAGAAGATGAAGTGTCTCTCGAACAAGGAAAGAAAAGAGGAGAATCGAACCGGAGTCTTGACGGATTTAGATCTCAACATCCTTGCTATGTTTTCCAAGGTCGCTGGATTAAAGATATTGTCAATAGGAGACATTTGGAGCAAGGAGACGAGATTGGACTCTTCTGGAATTTTATTGATTCTAGACTTCATTTTTGTGTGCTTAAGAGATCACAAGAACCCTAACTAGCTTGAAAGATCGTCTTTCCCCGACGTAATACTTACTATATATATATATATATATATATATATGTACATATATATGGATAGATAAGTAGATGAGTGGTTATACTTGGTAGCACATTCTAAGGAATAATTCTCGTGTGATCGTATTGATAAAATTTTGTAGTTATGTTTTTGGTTAATGACATTGAGAAGGCTTTTTATGAAAACTTTGATGGTTTCTAGTTAATTTCAATGCAAGTTACACACACAAATCCTTATTTTTCCAATCATTCAAATAATATTGATTCGTTACATATGTGAGAAACTTCAAATTGAGTGTGATACAATGCCGTGCGAAGACCTTTAGAGACCTAATGTAAATTTTAAAAATACATATATATTACAATGTTTTAACAATAATGATATAAAATATATTAAAATTATATATAAATTCTATTTTTTTTGAAAAATATCTTACATAAATGTTATATATATTTTTCTTCTACAAACAATAAATTCTTAAAAATTTAAAAAGAATTAAATTTATAGCATAGAAAAACAAAAACAGAAAGCAGCTCTTAAAAACAATTATTAAAATCATTCAAATTTTAGTTATAATATAAAGTTAATTAAAAAAATAGCTATTGTAACTTGTAAGCATAAGTGAGGCTTGAATAGCTGAACTAAATTGCATATCAAACTAGGAGGAGACATTAGAGCATGTTTATTGGAGAAATTCATATGGGTTTTTAGTGAATATTATGATAATAGATTTAAGTTAAGAAATCCACTAAAAAATTTGTGTGTTTTTAAGGTCCCTTGGAGAAACCCAAATTTATTATAATCCACTAAAATGGGTTTCTTAAAAAAATGTAATCTATTATAAAACATAATTGATATATAAAAATTTAAACATTTTCACATACAAATTTTTATTATATGCTCAGTTGTTATCTTGATTATGTCCAAATTTTTGCCATATATGCTCAACCAAATCAGCTTGTAATTGTTGATGCATTTGTTTATACCAAATTCTAGTTCGAACACCCAATATATTAGCAAGAGTTGTAGGCATGTCTGTAGAATACGTGAGATCCACATGTGAACTTCTGTTTCCTTCTCCTTGTTGGAATATCAAATTGAGTGTATCCATCTCGTTCGTCTTCTAATATTATAGTGGAGTATGATATATGCTCTCTTAATTTTTCATATTTTTGCTTTATCCCAACAAAGAGCCGGGTTTTTAACAATAGCAAATCGAGCTTGCAAGACTCCAAATGCACGCTCGACATCTTTTCGGGTAGCTTATTGATGTAGAGCAAATAATGATGGTTTTGGGCCCTAGGAAATTGGAATAGATTGGATAAACGTAGCCCATTTCGGATAAATACTATCTGTGAGATAGTAAGCCAAATGATACTCTCTTCCGTTGACAGAAAAATTCACTTGTGGAGCTTTAACTTTTATTATATCATGAAAAACAGGTAAGCGATCAAGAACATTTATATCGTTTAAGGTATCTGGAGGTCAAAAAAACGCATGCCATATCCAGAGATCATATGAGGCTACCGCCTCTAAAACGATGGTGGGCTTTCCAGAACCACGTGAATATTGCTCTTTCCATGCGGTGGGGCAATTCTTCCACTCCCAATGCATACAATCAATGCTTCCTACCTTTACGGGAAATCCTCTTTGCTCTCTAACATCAAGTAGTCTTTGAAGATCCTCCGGTGTGGGTCGTCTTAGGTACTCATCGCCAAAGAGAATGATTATTCCTTTCAAAATTTTTTTCCAAACATAAACAAGTAGTAGTTGCACTGAGCCGGAGGTATTCATCAACCGTATCAAGCGCAGTGCTATATGCCAAGAGACGAATTGCTGCTGTACACTTCTGAAGTGCAGAAAGACCAGGCCTTCCAGTAGCATCAATCTTCTGTTGAAAATAAGGAATTTCATTGGAAAGCTGATCAAAAATATGCAAGAACATGGCCTGTTCATTCTAAAATGTCGTTGAATGAAATAATAGTTCCATAAATGGTTGTGGCTTTCTTCGCGATCTCTTTCGATAAAAGTTCTTTTTTTCCTTGATTTGATTGGCTCTTGATGGTCATTATAATCAATGAAGATTTTCAAATGTTTGAACGAAAACTTGTTTGATCAAAATTTTCATCTATGGATCCATCAAAATTATTATTGGAAGAAGAAGAAGCCATTATAGGAAAAAAAAGTGTTGGGCTTGTGAATTTGAGGAAAAAGATTTTGAGGAAAAAAGTGGTGTATTTTGAGAATATAGAAAGAGAAGAAGGAAGTTGAAAGTTTGTGAATTTTATGGAGATTGTTTGGCAATTATTTAGACAAACACATTGTATACTTGTGGTAACAAATGATCCTAACACATTTGTGGACATTGTTTATTATTGGCAAAGTTACAAAAAACAACACATCGACCAAAAACGCAACACATCGACCCAAAAAAAACAAAGAAAAAGGGCCCACTTCTTGTCTTGTTTCTTGGTGTCTTCTTTCTTGGTGTTTCTTGGTGACTTTGTTTCTTTGTGTCGAAAGGAGATGGTGGTAGACCATTGTTTCTTGGTGACTTTGTTTCTTTGTGCTGACTTCTATAATCTTTGAAACCTGAAACACAAATTCAAACATTTACTCATGAGAACAAAACATATTCATCTGCAACCATCGTTTGAAGATGAGATCACTAAAAAGATTCAAACCTTTACCTGGTAAATACGCAGATGAAAACATACTCATCTGCAACCTAAACCCTCAAAGTATCATTCCTCAGAATTAAATCAAACAAACAACAAAGGAAAAATAGAAACAAAAATATGGTCAGATCACTAACATAAATAAGAATTAAATGAATCTCCAACATACAACAACTAAAGCGATAATCTTAATTAAAGACAATGCTTCTTAAAAATGATACAACAACTAAAACAGACCACAACTAAAGACTAACTCCTTTCATTAAAGACAAAGCTTCTTCAAAGCGATAACAACATTTAAATTAAAACATAATACAACTTCATAATCAAGTCACAAAGTGATAGAAGTCACAAACTGAAACATATCGAAGACACTAACTTGACACTAAGAACACAAACAAGAATCGAACACAACTTCAAATTCTATTCGACACATAGAATACACTAAGTAGCCAACATATCAGTTATAAGCTTCTTCTTCAAAGCCTCTTCATACTCGGATAGAGGTTCTTTCTTGGCAAAGAGACTGTCAAGTAAAGCCATCTTGGACAGTCTCTCTTTTAGCGCCATATCTTTCTCTTTTATAGACCACATTTCCTGAAACCGTGACAAAGCATTTCCATCAACCGTAACCCTCTTTCCTCTGGCTTTTTATGCCTTAACACCAGGAGGCTGGTTAGTGGTTTGAACTTCCTCTGGCTCTGCATAAGAGCTTGATGATTGTGCTCCATCTTCACACATTCTCTTTTTACGGCTTCCATCCGTTTTAAAACTAGCTAGCTCATACCATTCCTGGTCATTACGCAGCTCCTTCCAAGCGTGGTCCAATGTGAATTTCTTCTTATGGTCATTGTAGATATCTCATGAGCTAGTTTGAGAACATCATTCTCGTTTTAACCACTTGATTTCTCCCTTGTTGCAGCCTCGTAGGATCCACATAACTTGCATACAACGTCATTGATCTTCTGCCACCGCTGCTTACACTGAATAAGTTCTTGGTTTTCTCTTCCTGCAGCTTTCAAACTTGCAGCAAAATAGTCCGAAATGCATTTCCAAAAGGCCTCTGACTTCTGCTCGTTGCCTACAACTGGATCTTTGAAGGTGTTGAGCCACAAGCTGATGAGCAATACATCATCACTTGGCGTCCATTTCCTTCTTTCCCTTATCTCTGCAGGCGTCTCTTCACCGATGCTTGCATCTTCAGAGTTTGCTTGAGAACTGAAGACCAGAGACTGTGATGGTCCAAATGCGACACAAGGAAATATCAACCCACTCTCTTGTTGACTGTTAAACAGTTCAACAAAATGAGAGGACTGACTATATGGATAAAAAGACATATCCAGAAAGACAAAGAAGAGAGAAAAGAGATAAAAAGAGAGAACTCGTATATAATTAGAAGAACAATGAGAGAAAGAACTTGAAAAAAGATGAAAAGATAGAACTCGTGTTTAATAATAAGAACAATAAGAAGAAGGAAGTTGAAAGGAGATGAAAAGAAAGAGACAAAAGAACTTGAAAAGCATTCATCAAAAAGGAAGAAATTAAGGAAAGAAAGAGAATGCATTCAACACAAATACACAACCACATCAACTTGACAAGCATTTATCACAACCATAATCTCTATCTAACCAGCAAAATCAGTTACTACATAAATCCTATAAACTAACCATTATGCATTTATTACCACCTAACAATGTTTACTTCAAACAACTTAACCTATACAAATTGATACAAAGCAACACAGTTTCTTTGAATATATGCATTTGCGAACACTAAACTGAACAGTTTTCAAAGCTTGAGCTGTTTCTATAACACAAACACTCCCATTGTAAGAGGAAAACATCAGAACCTGCAACCATACCATCAAACAAACATCAAAACATCAGAAACATATCATTTCTAACAAGCATCGAGACTTGAAAACCCCAAATCAAACAAGCATCGAAACATATCATTTCTAACAAGCATCGAAACATATCATTTCTAAAAAGCATCGAAGCATATCATATCTAACAATCAGATAAAGAATCGAAACCAATCAACCAATTCATATCAAACAAGCATCGAATCCAAACACCTAAATCCATATCATATCAAACAAGAATCGAATCCAAACACCTAAACCCAGATCCAAAAACCCAAATCCGAATCATAACCAACCGGAATCAAACCTTAAACATAAACCCAAATCGGATTCCAAGGGATAAATATCTCTCGCACCAAATATGTAGAACAGAAATCAGTAGATTGGAAGACAAAATTACCTATAGATCACGAAAGGAGAATAAGATCGGATGCGGTGGATTTGTGATCGGTCACGGTTCGAAAGAAGAAGATCGACCGCAGTTCAAAAGGTGATTGGAAGACGAAAGGAGTAGCATCTCCGCCGCGGTGAACCGATTCGTCGGCTGGCAAACCAAGATCGCCGACGAGGCGAGAACGAGGGATCAGAGGCGTTGGAGAAGTCGAGGGTTTTTTTTGGTCGAGAAAGGAGATGAAAAATGGTCGAGACAAAAAATTTGTTCGAAGGAAAAATGGCCGATAGTTTTTTAGCCAATGGGAAGCTGCCACATAGTCTCTAAGAGCTTATCCTTAATGTGCTTAATTAAAGATCGGTTCTTAAGTTTTCTCCTTTTTTTTGTAATTAAAAAAGCCCAAATAAACCTAAGAAACTGATGCGGTCATCAAACCAATAGCTGAACCAAAGCTCAATCAAACTTACTGCTCAAGCCGCATAGGAGCCAGCAAAGATGTCTCTGCTTTCAGTAAAGCATATCGAACCAACCAGAAAAATTTGAGCAACAAGCTGAATTAAAGTAATGGAGAAGTGTAACTGGGTTCATATCAGCCCATACAAAACCAGAATCGAATTTACAAACCAGATGATTCCAGACTATCTTGCTATTGAAGCCAATACAGACTTACGGCGATTGTTTCACGAATACCAGTTCAACCACAATGATTCAAGGCAGGAAACCACTTGGAGAACATTCTCAGCTCATCTAGAGAACACCAAGAAGTGGAATCAGTCCAATACGAGTTCTGAGGAAGGAGTTATTCAATTTTCAAACCAAGAGAACCCGAGCTCGCTAGATTCAGAAATATGCAGGAATCATTGGAGGATTGCGATTAAACCAGAATGAATTAAGCTATGAACCGACTTTTTCTAGAATCTTAATTCATCAAGGAATCAGGGAGAGTTTAAATCGTACCAATACCGGTTATGGTTGGGGAGATATTCGATTTCTAATCCAGACATTCCTCAACTTGCCTTATTTGGAGTCTCACGAGTTTGGTCAAGGTCGAACGTATTTCTGGCGACCAGCAGACCTTAATAATGATCCAGGATGTTTCCTAGGGATGTCAAACGGGCTTTTGCCCGCGGGTTCGGCCCATTTAGATCTGCCATGGGACGGGCCTGGACAAAATTTTCGTAACCCATTAATTAACGGGTCAAGCGGTTTAATCCGTTGCAGTTAGCGGGTTTAGTGGGTTAGACCGGGACAGTTTCCAGGGTTAGCGGGTTTTGTTCGCGGGTTTGTTTTTAATGGTTTAGAAGCTAAAATTCACATCGGTACGGTTAGACCGGGACAAACATCGCTTTGAATGATTCAAATTGAATCAAATAATTTAAACTCTCTATTTGTATTAGAGTGTTCGTTCAAATAATCTAAACGCTTTGTTTCATTCTGCTGATTCAAACTCTCTATTTGCACTAGAGTGTTCGAGTTTTTAAACAGTTGACCTAACTTAGAGTCTTCGAGTCTGCGACGTAGATTGTTTAGAAAATTAGTTGTTTCAGAGCAAAGAAGAAGACCGATCCAAACAGAGAGTCTGAGGCAACGCTACTAACAATGGATAATTTTGTAAGTTGTTGTCTATATACTTTTGGTTTCAGCTTTTACAAACGTTGATTCAATGAAACTCAGTCGTTGTCGTTGTTATTGTGATGAACACTGCAAGCATTGATAATCAGTTCTGACCTTTTTAATTTGAATTTTTGTGTTGTTAATGATAGGATTTCCATGGTTTTTCGAATCTACTGACAGTAGATTTTGAAACTCAGAGATTTATGGCTGCTGCAAATGCTGAACATGAACAGAGGTTGAATGACGATGATGATCGAATGTTACCGGAACAGAGAAAAGGAGTGGTCGCAGGCAGCAGTGATGAAAATGCAGAAAACTTTCATCAGAACAGAAAGTTTGATGGACCAGATAGTTCATCAAAATCAAGTATTCGAAGCAGAGTTTTCGTTGATGTAGAAGGTGACAATTGCAGAGGAAAGTCATCAGAACAGAGGAAAAGAAAATTCTCGGGCAACGATGGAAATGCTGAAAAAGATCGAAGTAAGTGTGATGGACCAGCGACAAAAAGACCAGAAAAACTTCCAAGACAAACTGTTCATGACATTGAAGACGACAACATGAACGAAAATGCAGCAGAGCAAAAGAGTAGGAAGCTTCATTCAGATGTGTGGGCTGATTTTGTGGTGATGACTAAAGTTGACAAGTCTGGTAAGCGTTGTCAAAAAGCTGTGTGTAAACATTGCAAGAAGGAATATGCGCATGAGTCACACAAGACGGTACAATATGTTTAAGACGCCATCGTGAGAGATGCAAACTCATGGTTAGATCTAATGATGTTGGTGAGATGATGGTCACTGCAGAAGCAAAACTGCAGTCACGAAAATATGACCATGTGATTTTCTGTGAAATGGTAGCTAAGTGTATTATTCAACATGATCTGCCATATTCTTATGTTGAATATGAAGAGTTAGATCAGTGTGGAAGTATTTGAAGATGTCAAGTTCATCAGTCGAAACACTGTTGCAGCTGATGTGTATAAGTTTTATGAGAATGAGACGTCAAAGTTGAAAAACGAATTAAATCGTCTTCCTGGAAGGATATGCTTCACTTCTGATTTATGGACTGCGATCTCTCATGAAGGCTACATGTGTTTAACAGCGCATTATGTGGATGTAAACTGGAAATTACAGAATAAGATTCTAGCTTTTTGTGCTTTTCCACCTCCACATACAGGTATGCACTTAGCGATGAAGTTATTAGTATACTTTTAAAAATTTTATTCTTTTGATTGTCCGTTTCTAAAATTGTTTTTTTAAAGTTAACGAAATCGTTTCTAAAATTGTTTTTTAAAGTTTCGTTCTGTTGATTGTCCGTTTCCAAAAGTATAGCAATCACCAGTTTACGTTTAGTCACCAACTTATATATGCTTTTAACGAGATTAACAAGATTTAAAGTCACCAGTTTTTAAAGTCACCAGCTTGCTTAACGAGATTTATATATCAGTTTTGATTTCATGCTTTTATTTTTAAAGTCACCAGTTTTGATTAACAAGATTATATATGCTAAACGTCACCAGCTTATATATGCTTTTAACGAGATTTATCAAATCAAACCACGTTTTTTCATAAGGGCATATGTTTCTAGTTTGTATTTCTTGCATGAGTTTCTTTCTTAACTAAAGCATCTGTTTTGCTGAAAGGTTTAAGTTCTTTGGAATCATGATCGATTTCTATAAGATTTTGAAAAGAATTTGAAGAAGAAGAGTTGTGATGATCGTAAATCTAGAAAAGATTATATGTATGTATATATTTGATTAAATAACAACATGACAGTTCGTTAATTATATATCTGTATGAAAGTAACAGTCATCATGTCGTTATATATTTGATTCACCTATAATTATAAACTCCATCAAGACTACAACGTCCTATCCCACCTATACTATCACTACGTTATAAACTTGAAAAGCACGAATTCCTAAAGGCACCAGCTTGCTTAACGAGATTTATATATCTGTTTATGTTTCATTCTTTTTAACGTAGTCTTTTTTTAGAATATACTGATTTCGTGCTTTTCCACCTCCACTTACAGGTATGCACTTAGCTATGAAGCTTCTTGAAACATTGAAGGAATGGGGAATAGATAAAAAGTGTTCTCCATCACTCTTGATAACGCTACTAACAATGATAGTATGCAAGAGATTCTGAAATCACAGTTACTGATAAGAGAAGATTTGTTGTGTGGAGGAGAGTTTTTTCATGTGAGATGCTCAGCCTATATTCTCAATCTCATTGTTCAAGAAGGACTGAAAGTGATAGGTGATTCATTGACTAAGATAAGGGATAGCATCAAGTTTGTTCTATCTTCTGAGTCCCGAGAGAATCTATTTGAAAGATGTGTTGAAACAGTTGGCATAAGAGAGCAAGGTGGTTTAGTATTGGATGTGCAAACTCGTTGGAATTCAACCTACAAGATGCTTGACAGGGCAATCAAATATAGAGCTGCGTTTGTTAATCTGAAAGTTATTGATGGAAGAAACTACAAGCATCTCCCAAGAGAAGATCAGTGGGTCTTGGGGAAGATGATTTGTAAACTTTTAGAGCCCTTTGATGAAGTTACTCGTCTAATATCAGGTTCTACTTATCCAACATCAAACTTATATTTTATGCAAGTTTGGAAGATTCAAATGTGGTTAAGAGATCATGCAGCTCATGAGAACGAGATGATCAGAGACATGGTTAGTGTTATGCAAGAGAAGTTTGACAAGTATTGGGAAGATTACAGTGATATTCTTGCTATGGCTACTGTGTTTGATCCAAGATTAAAGATGACACTTGCATAATATTGTTTCGAAAAACTCGATAAGAGAACTTTTGAAGAAAGGCTGAAACATTTGCTTGAAAAACTTAGGACTCTTTTCGAGTCGTATGAGAGCAAGTTCAAGACGCAATCACCTTCACAAGAAACACGAGAAACTATTCAGAAAAAAGATGATCAAGAACGCGATGTCCTAGGAGGAAGTTTCTTAAACTACGATGTAAGTGTTTCACTTGGACATAAATGTTTGATTTCATACACTTTTTGCTTACATGGTTTTTTAAAAAATGGTGTAAAATTTCTTTGCGTTTCGAAAATCTAATGTTGTTGTTAGTGGGAAGTCGTCTTTGGAACTCTATCTAGAAGAACCAGCATTAGACATGGCCGATTTTCAGAGTTTAGATATCTTGAAATATTGGAAAGATAACTCTTAACGTTATAGAGATTTGGCTTGCATGGCTTGTGACCTTCTCAGCATTCCAATCATAACGGTAGCTTCAGAATCATCTTTCAGCATTGGATCTCGAGTTTTGAACAAGTATAGAAGCCATCTTCTTCCAAAAAATGTTCAGGCGTTAATATGTAACTGTAATTGGCTAAAAGGTTTTGAGGCATACGAAAATGGTAATGAATTTCTTTGTTTTAATAAGTTCTATGATCACACATTCATATATTATATATTAACAGCCATACATTGTGATCTTTGTAGAAGAGGACGAAACAGTTGATGGTGAAGATGAATAACTGCCTTCCTTCGAATCAATTGTTGAGGAGGATGCTGAATGTTGATGAAGAAACTTTGGAGGGATTTGTTTTTAAATTTATTTCTTAGACTTGTGTTTAAGTTTTCTAAACAGAGATTGTTGTTTCAGTTTCCTT